CTGTAACAAGCGCCGTGTGGTTTTCAGTTTACTTGCCCTGAAATAATCAGCTCAAAAGTCTGCCGAAGACACTGGATCAACCATTACATCAAAAGTAAGTTACTTCAAAAGTGAGCTGCCTGGGTTAGCGCCCAGATAACAGTCATGTCACTGCAAAATAGAGATTTCAATCAAGTGCTGCAACACAAGCCTTGTATCAACACTCTCTAAGAGAAATGTTAAGATCCAGACAGTGCTTTTACTTAAACTGATATGAGGCTAGAGTAACACCTACAAAGTCCTTGAAATTATGATGTTATGTAATTCATGCTCAGGAATCAGGACTCTAAGGAGCTTAAATTTCCAGAGAGGTGCACGCACACAGTAGTTGTACTTACAGTAAATACTTGCTGAAAAAATGGGTTATTACATAATACAGTATAACACAACAGTAGGCATTTGGGGTAAGGCAATGGCAAAACTAAAGTTCTCCAAGAAAACAGTATTTAATTATGAAGTTTTCAGAGGGAATAGAGTTAGCAGCGTTTTCCAAACAGGAAAGAAACACATTTTGCCAATCGAAACTCTTAAAAAGTGTTGAAGTATAAATGTCAAAATAGGTAATCTCAAGACATTTCAGAATTATGTAATTTTGCTTTATTTTTGTTCCAAATGAGAATTTTTTGTTGTTGTTGACATTCCTCACAAAAGAGTCCATAAGATGTCTGCACAGTAAAACTTATCTACAGATACAAAAAAATTAAGTTAAAAAAAAAAAGATAAATTCAATAGTCCAGATTCTCTATTTGTTGTCCTGCTGCAGAAGGGATATAACTACACATACATTACATGCATATTTCCTTTTATGGTCCTACCCCTTGTTTACAATATCAAGGATGATGAATGATACAAACCGTAAGTCTTAAGCACATAACATGTAGCTTGGCAAAGTAAATGACAGCTATCAGGCTGCAAGGAAACTGTTGAATGAGAATGAATTTAGTTCCTTGGCTACGCATCTGTACAGCCTGAGAGCTCTGAATTAAAAGATGGAAAAACAGTGGCAACAAACCAGGGCTTAATTCACCAAATTCATTTTTCRTAGTAGCATAATGAATATCCAGGGACTGTTTAATGCCAAGCATGGGAAATAAATAAAGMATAGCAAACTTACAGTTGAGAAGGAGGCTCTGGAGAAGCCTTCTGCAAAGTGGACGCAGATGGCTCTTTTCTTGCCCAACAATCCATCCTTTGCACAGCAGTGCATTCTATTCCTATATTTCTATTAAAAAAAGAGGAGAAACCACACTACAATTTGGATGAAGAACAAATTTGTCTTAAGCTTGGCTCCTTAACATTTGGGCTAGGGTTTTAAACTGTTCTTTTCAAATATGTCAGCGAAGACCAAGGTGGCTCCTGCTCATTATGTGGGTTATYTAGGAGGACAAGGGCATGATTGGTGCCCAAGTATTTTGAATCCCAACCTGACACCCTGCGAAAGATGTTAGGTATCTAGAATGCTGAACATTGACTCTCAGGTCAATGCTGAAGTTTTCCAAGTCAGCTACTGGAGTTTATTCAAAGGGTGCTTCAAAGAAAATGAGAGAGTGTCATAGAATCTTTTATTAACAGCAGTTATGTACACCATACAAAACTTCCTCATATATTGAATTTAGATTATTTGCATTTTTCTCAGGTATCTGTCTGATTTTTGCTGTATTTCAGAGAATTTACTCTACAGAAAGCACTAAAGCTGGTTTTTCCAGCAAGGCCTAAGGACCCAGCAGATCTGAGGAAGTAGGTACTGTTTCTATATGCTCCCCCAGSTAATCCTTTTTCTTTGCAGATTGTGGTACACAGCTTGCCAGGTAAATGGAAACAAGAGGCGCCACACAAGTATCGAGCAGCAAAACATAACGTTGATTTACCAGCCTGAGCCTGCAATGCTCTACATACAGCCTTGTTTACATATATGAGACCTAATGGATTAAATTCTCTCTCTCAGGGGCTTGTTAGCTCTGAAACAGGGCCACAGGAATGTAACCTCACTGTTTCTGACCCAATTTAATCAGCATTCAACAAAGCTGCTGTTTTTCTACTCGCACTTCTTGGAGGGAGTCGTCTTATATGTGGACATACCATTAGGTCCTTGAATAGCCCCAGCCTAAGATGACTTATTGAGCAGCAGGATGTTGCTAGAGTTCTCTAAAGTGGAAACAGTCTCTTCTTAAGGAATGTTGGTATCAAAGATGAGGGAGTAGAAAATCATCTTATAAAACTATAGAACTATGCATTATAAAACTATGCATTCCCCATTTTATTCTGCATACACAAAGCTGAAGACTGTCTAGAATTTTCTTRTCAAAGTGATTCAACAAGCAAGTTTTATAATTATTTTGAGTCTAAAGCTCAACAGTGTGAGAACAAGTTGCTCAGAGAAGCTAGGGAAARATTAATATTTACAATTTGTAAATATCCATGGGCAGGATCCAGCTATCATAGCAAAAAGAAAAATTGAGTTGCATTTATACTCTGCCACGTGCTTTCTATGCGACTCCAGGCAAGTTACAATGCAAGTTTCTCTTCCTTACCTGTATGTTGCTTTGGGCCAAACTCCCTCTAAATAAATGACCAAAGAAATCCTCTCTTTTTAAACTTGTGTCGAAGAGCTTCACTCGGGAGCCTTTTGAGAAACTTGGAGCAACTGCAAAGTTGCTCATTTTAAGCTAAACACACCTCATTTACTAYATTAAAGTACATAAAAATAAATTTATACCAGATAACCCAGTCAGCTTAGTAGATACCTTATGGGACAATTACCGGATAAAGTAAGCAGCAATGATATTCAGAAATGTTAACATAGCACGGGAGATGATCATTTGCTAAGTGAATGAGGGACTGCCATGTGTTTTATTACTCTCCTGTGTCTTACTTATTAGGCTGGGAAGATACACTTGATTTTCTTTTCCTGAGTCAATGCCAAATTAAAGCATCCAAATTCAATGTCTACAGTATTAACAACTTCTATTTCCTATTAATTTACAGTTTTAGTTAMCAAAACAGAAAGAAAAGATGGTAGCAGTGGGTGGTTATGAGACTTCTATTGCAATATCTAACGTTTTATCTCTTCAKTAAAACAGGTCGGTCACTAACCTGCTCACCTACATTGATTCTGACAGTTCTTAAAGGTCAGATTTGATTCCATCAAGGAGCCAAGGAAGACTGGGAAGGGGACAGGAGGTGCAGGGGAAGGTGAGATGCACGTATTGCCCATCAGAGACTTTATGCTACTGTAGAGCAAAGGAGAAAACAGTACAGTTTTACAGTTACAAAAACTGGGGTGTCTTAATTTCCTCATTAAGATATTAGAAGACAAAAACATGATGACATTGTCTTTGCCTCTGAAGCTCCATTTTATTTAAATTGCTTTTTTTCACCTTCACTTCACAGGTAATAGCTCATTAATAACTTCTTTCCAGAAATMACCGTTAAAAAATAAGACTGGGAACAGAAACAATAAATTTCTAGATAAGTAACTTGGAAAGATACAATCAATAAAACCCKGGGTGGCAATAATGTTACCATAATAAATTTATGATATCTGCTTAAACAATACTTTCCCTCCTCCATTATTCTGAATGTTGCTTCAGGAGGTCTTTATTTATAGACTACATTTTTTCTTTTATGGTGGTACTGTAAACAGGCAGTTAAACTAATATTTTGGTACGCTTGGCATGCTCGGTTCTGCTTTATGGAGCCTTTCAATAAAAACCCATCGCAGCTTCAAATGCCCTCTTGCAATGCCAAAACTGTACCTGCAGAAATTGCCCTTCTACTGTATCCTAGTTTGAGGATTTAGCTCCATAAAGGCAGGTTGCAGTGCTTTGCACAGAATGCATAAGCTGTGGCCAGAGAGGGGGAAATGTTGGAGAGACCTGAGACAACCCCCTTACAATTTTAAACCAGGAGTCTGGGTTCTGGCTGTGCAGCAAAGAACTCAGTCCACAAAAAACAACTTCTTTGAGGTATGAAAAAAAGCCTTTTTTTTTTTTTTTTTTTTTCCTTTTTCCATTCCCATCTTCTTCGCACGTCAGCTAGCATTCCCTACCAGGTCCAAAGAGAAAAGTTTGATGAACACAGCAGCTTCCCCAAGGAATATTAATATTGCTAACTCATGGCTAGTATATATTGCTAATCTAGGGAACCTCAAAGGTTCCCTAAATCGTTCTAGTTTAATAGAAATGCTTAAACTTATTACGCAATAGGCAAATTTATGCAATGAGCAAATTTAGCTGCTGCTTAGCCTACCCTATTGCCAGAATATTAGCTCTCATTAAGCAACTATTTAAAATTACAAAACAATAAACTGGAAGCATGAAGCAAATATAACTTCGATAAACATTTGCCTGAAGTCTCCAGCAAAACAAGGGGCCACTCTTATGAGACAGAGAAGACTTTATTTGACCTAAAAACTATCCGTAGAGACAGAGATGATCAGTAGACATAAGAATAAGAAGAACTCTCTGTTTTGTGGCAGGCTGCTGCTGCTTAGAGCTAGCAGTCCTCCAGCAGTGCCTTAGTTGTCTTTCCTTTTGGACTGTGCGTCCTCTCCAGCTTTAGGGCTGGGGAAGGTTGTCGTGAAGGCATGGAGATCATTGGGAAGTGGGCAAGGAGAGGTTGGGGGCATCCCTGAAAACGCCGGGTGCTGCCTCCTTGTGCTTGTCCACCTTGTGGGGTGAAGGATAGTGGCCTGACTGTGGGGGTGGCCGGGCCCTGCAGCCSTATGTGACACGGACCAGGGTCACAGTGCGCCGTCCCGCATCACCATGAGAGCTTCCCTGYGCCCACGGTGCCCCGTGCACACTGCCGTGCGAGGCCAGGCTGAGCGCYGGCACTCGGCTCTGCTCTTCTCGTGGCGGCTGCTCCGCAGTGAGGAGGAGAGGGGAAGAGAGGCAGTGCGGGAGAGCGCAGGGCTCTCCGGTGTGCGGGAGTGAAGGAGCTGGTGTCCAGCGGCTTGCGCCATGGATGCGTATTGCTCCGCATTCCTCCTGACACTCTCTCAGCAGCTCTCGCATTTCCGGAAGGAACGTAAGTCCAAAAGCTTCCTGAGTCTCCAAGCTSGGGGTGGCCAAAGCACTGGTCCTCTCCATGGGGTGGGAATGGAATGGCAGTTTGTGCCAGGGAGAGGGTCAAGCGTTGCAAGGAGCACGGGAAAGGGCAGCAGTGCTCTKTGCAGAAGGCTCAGGTGACCTGGAGCAGAGGAGCCCCTTGTCACAAGCCTTTCTAACGTCTCTCTTTGGTGTGCATGCCTGTGGTGGGGCCAGCAGTGGGCTTCTAATTTGAAGGCTGTAGACATGTCAGCTCTGCTCGCCTCACTGCAAGGGTCTATTGGGACATGGTGGTGGAGGTGGTGGGTGAAAATGGCTGCGTCCTCTTGGTTTGGCATGGCAGGCATGGAGGTGAGCTTGTGGACTTCAAACTCAACGAGCCCCTCTCTCCCTTCCTGCGCAGATATCGCTAAGATTTGGGACAGCGCGTGCGAGTGCTACCGCCAGGCGCTGCTGCAGAACAAGGTGGGACTTCTTATCTCCTTCTCCCTCCCACCCCAACGAGCGCCCATGCCCCAATTTCCACGCTGCCTTGGAGCAGCCCTAYTGCTGCCACCTCTGAAGGCAGAAGCCATTTGCCAGGAAGAGCCGGTGGGTCAGTTCTGCCCCGGAGCGAGCTCTCGGGCAATGCGGAGCTTCTTCTGGAGAAGCAGAATGTGGCATTTCTCCTCCGGGGCGTTCTCTGGCCCTGCGCGGCACAAGCTGCGTGGTGGAGAGTTCCTGCCAGGTGTGGTACCTCCTCGGGCGGTGTTGCCTACCTGCGGGTCAGCGCTTAGCTCGTGGGAGCTGAGGGCTGCGAGAGGCCAGGAGCGGCGAGTGCAAGGCGCTCCTGCAAAGCACCTCGTCCTCCTGCACTGAAGACGGGGCAAGGAAAGGCCCTCAAGGATACAAAAATGATATCAAGTGACGGCACTTGATATAAAAATTTATATAGTGACATCATTTGATTATAAAGTGACATCATTTGGTTATGAATTGATGTCACTTGATATAAAAAATGATATCAAGTGACATCATTTGATTAAAAAGTGACATTTGATTATGAAGTGATGTCAACTTGATATAAAAATGATTTCAAGTGACATCATTTGATATAAAAATGATATAAAAGGACGTCATTTGATTATGATGTCACGTCATTTGATATAAAAATGACATGAAGTGACGTCACTTCATATCATTTGATATCATGTGATGTCATTTGATATAAAATGCCCCGACGAGTGCCCCGACAGGTCATCCCTTACCTTGGGGGCGTGAGGAAAGCCTCTCGCTCTTCCTTTCCTGCTCTCCCCTTTCCAGACTGTCCAGCTGGCAGGCGTGGGGAACATGTACATCCTGCCCAACTACTTGTGCGCGGTGAAGAAGAAGAGCTTCCGCGTTCGGAGACCTGTCTTACACCTGGACAACGTCTTTCTGCTGGAGAATGATCTCCGATATGAGAACATGCCACGGCCTGGTTAGAATCACGATGCAAAGCTGGTCTTGCCCTCACGTTGGGGTGGGGTTCTGCCAGGCCCAATGTAGTTAGGAGCAGCCTAAGTGAGCTGCAGGGAGCAGGGAAGCAGAGGTGGGAGGAGGAGTTTTGCCCAGGGCGCCGTGGCCAGCGTGAGGGGACCCTGCGTGGTGCTTGGGGAAGGCAGGAAGAAGTGGGGCTGTGTTTGCAGTGGTTCTCGCCTTCCCATGGGACCACCTGCAGTTTGGTAGGAAGAGCAAAACGGGTGTGGGGAGGGGACCATACCCGTCCTCCAGCAAGAGGTTTGGGGCTCAGTGGAGAGTGGGTGGCGTGGGAGGGTGTTGAGAAGGCTGGGGAGGGTGTGTGGAGCTGGGGGCTGAGTTGAGTGTGCTCAAGGGCTGTTTGTCCTGACTTTGTTGCCCGCTGCTGTTTTTGCAGGGCATTTAGAAGTTGCCCGAGTGAGGCCAACCACGATTGTCATGAGGACCCACCTTTCCCTCCGGAAGGTGTACGTTTGTCTCAAGGCAATGGAGAACTTGCTCGTGTGGGCCTTGTCCAACGGGGAAGATTTTGACTTTTTTTTCAAGAACATTGGCGTTCTTGTGTGCCGATCTCGCCGAGTGACAATGAGGTTCTTTGAAGATTTCCTCAAGGAAGTGGACGAGACGGGGAACCTGTGCAAATCTTTCCTCTGTGTAAGTVTGGCAAGAGTTGAGTGCTCTCTCTGCTGCTTTTGAAATGCCTTTTGGTTAAGGGAGTCTCCTGACCACCGGCTTTACCAAGGCCCAGCAGCATTAGTGCCGGTTCTCAGGGTTCTGCCGGGCAGTGTGTGTGTGCTGGGACAGGGACAGATGTCCCTCTGGGGTGGGAGCTGTGCAGGGGCAGCTTCTTGTGTGGCTTGTGGGCAGTTTGCCACCCTTGTGAGCCAGCGGCAGGTGTCCAGGAATGACCGTGTGTGTCCCTGTCACTTTTCAGACCCCCGAGCTGAGGCCGTTGATCATTGCGCGCACGGAGACGGCGGTTTATAAGCTGCCTCCTGGGGGGGTCTTTGTGTTCCCACAGTGAGTATGTTTACTTCTGCAGGCCTTGTGCACAGCAGCTCGGCGGACACTGCTCGGGACCTGCCTGAAACTGCTTTCACCTTTGTTTCTTCCAGATTTATACGAGTGACCGCCAGCACAGAACAAGCCTTGATTCTGTATGCTGTCAGGAAAGGTACTGTAAGAGGAGGTGTGGAGAGCAAGCGGAAGGGGTGAAGAGAGCCTCCATGGGCTGGCCTCCTTGGAATGAATGGGTGCCGTTGGGCCAAAGAGATTGGGTCAAGTGACCAYGTTCTCCTTCTGGSCTCACTTTGAGAATGTGGAGCGGAATGAATRKCCCAAGGAGGGCGTAGGGAGCCACTGGTTGCTTTAGGAGAGGCTGGGACAGGATGAGTGTGAAAGGAGTGAGAACCTGCAAGGAGTGAGAACCTGGCCTCCAAGCCTGGCAGAGTCTGTGCTCAGTGCACAGGAGCTCATGTGTGAGCAGGCCAACGCGTGCCTCTTGTGGGAAGGGTCCTGCAGAAGCAAACATGAAGAGCTTGCTTTGCCTTGCAGGCAGTCTGGCTGGTGAGGGCGTCCTCTCCCATCAGCGCGCTGTGCCGAAGCAGACRCATGATGGAGAGATGGCAGCAGAGGCACATTCTGAAGGGCATCGGGTGAGGTGAGCCTCTTGGAGCAGCAGCTTTGCTTAGCCCTTCTCTGCAAGAGGTGGGAGGGAGCTGTTGCTGTTGGACTCCTTTACAGTAATGGTGGGAACCTGGGGTCCTGTTTTGGGCAGGCTAAAGTCTCGTTAGTGGGAGGGAAGCGTTTTCAGTGAGCCTCCCACCTGAGGATTTCTTGGTGTGTCCCTTCTGGCTTGCAGGTTTGCGGAAAAGAAAGACGTGGGCAAAGCCACACAAGAAGCTGCCTGTAAATCGGAAGAGTCTTCCCAGGCAAAGACGGGAAGAGAAGGAGGCCCTGTGAAGAAGGCTGGCAGTGGAGGTGCCGTAAGAGTTGATGGCACTTTTGCAAAGCGGGGCCTGTGCAGGAGTGGGAGGGGAAGCCACCAGGGAGAAGCATGATGCTCTAGAAAGGGATGAGCGGAGCATGGAGGCAGCCTGAACAGGCTGCTGGCAAGGCTGTCTGCAAGGCTGGCAGTGCCCACGTTTGCAGGATAGCTGCCCATGCAGCTATCCATGCAGCTGCCCATGGATATCCATGCAGCTGCCCATGCAGCTATCCATGCAGCTATCCATGCAGCTGCCCATGCATGCGCAGGCCAGGATGTGCCTCTTGGGGCAGGTGTGCTGGAGAGGCAGCTGTGAAAAGGTGCTTTGTCATTGTAGGGGTTCTTGCTGGTGAGCACGTGCCCACACAGGCACATGTGTCATCCACGCACACATGTGGTGTGAAGGGGCCCGGAGAGGAGAAGAGCAAGGCCCAGGCTAGAGCTCACGCAGTGAGGTAAGAGCATTGTGGACCTGTGTTTTCTTCATGCTGTGCTCTTGGAGATGCATGAAGCAGCTTTTCCCTTTTGCCCTGYTGSCCCTAGTAGTGCTGGCAGGTTGTGCTCACTTGCCCCATGGCTTCTAGGACTTCTGGCTGGGTGGGAAGTGGGGAGCAGTTTGTGGTGTGCCTGCTGGGAGAGGTTTCATTTGGGTGTGCTCCTGGTTCCCAGGGGTGCGGATAAGCAGTGGCTGCGCCAAGCGGTGCCGGCATCACGAGAGCTTCCCCGGCAAAAGCAGGCGAGAAAGGACAGCTGGGGAGAGCAGCAGACTGGAAGAGGTAATGGAACAGTGAAGGGGGCATCTCAGAAACCCAAAGAAAKCAGAAGGCTGAGAAGCCCTGTGGGAGGAAGGTGGTGTTCTYGAAAGAGAGGGAGGGACAMTAGAGGGRGTGTGAAAGGGTCAGAAAGGGTCAGGGCCCTCTSCGATGCACTTCATGCCTGAGCACTGCGGAGTTGTCCTTCTGGGGGCCCCTGTGCTGGAGATGMAGTTGTGGAGAGCTYCCCTGTTCTGTGCTTCCAGGAGGACTCACTAGTGGGCGATTGCTCTCCCGGCCACGTCTGTCTCCCGCACGCACGAATGATGTGCGGGAGATGAAAGGATCAGTGCCTTCAGTGAGGTGAGGCTCTAGGAGAAAGGGACTGGGGATTGCCATGCTCTTGAGGGGCTTGGCACATGAGCCCAGGCTGGAGAACACGCTCACGCGAGCTGCATGTGTGCTCTGTCTGCAGCGTGCTGCCCCCAGTAAGGAGGAGCAGTGTTCAGAGAGGAGGCACTCCTGACAGGAAGGCTGCTGAATCCAGGCTTCCTGTAGGCGACAAGCAGATGAGAGACGGGGTAGGTGACAGGAATTCACGTAGTGTCTCTAAGTCTAGCTGCGTGGCCACGGGGGGATGTAGCTTTGGGGTTTACAAATGCAATCAGCCTTTGAGTTGACTCTCCTGTTCTGTTGTCTCTGTTCCAACACTCTTGTGCCTCCTCTCTCTYTGCCTTGCACTGCAGGCACAACGTACACAGACCTCCAGAAACCCCAAGTCTACTGGGGCTCTGTCCTGGAAGCTTTGAGGCAGAGAGCAAGAAGCCTCGGGGCCAGCCCATAGCACCCAAAGCGGTGTCTCTCTGCCTCCCTCAAATCACAGAATATTGTGGAGGAGAAGAAAATCCACAGAAAATCGTAAAGGAGAAGAACGTGGTGCCAAGGCTGGCAATGCCTCCGCAAATGTAAGTGTGTGCTGGTGTCAGAACGCTCCTGGGAAGTCGAGCAGCAGGCACGGCTGTGCTGCAGGGTCAAGGATCCCGAAGGCTTAGCCCTGAGGTGGATGTATTTCCCGTATGCAACACTGAGGAGTTGTTGATCTCCCCTTTAGTGTCGGGAAGAAGATGGAGCTGCAAAAGCACCATGAAAAGAAGAAGGCTTTTGTGGCGGCGCGGTGGACGTCAGATCAGCATGGCCAAGCGGAACCACGCAGACCTGCAAAACGGTCCTGGAGTGTGAAGCCTGAGGGACCAAGAGAAACAGCAGGGTTGGCCCTTACAAATGCTCCTGTGGCCTGGGAAATGCCCAATAAAGACCCGGTACTTGCTCCCAGCTGCTGTAGCGCAGCTGTGCATGGCAGTGCGTCAGTGTGGAGGAATTTGGAAGGGGAGGTGGCTTCAAGATGCTGTGTGCTCTCTGATGAAATGGGAGAARGMAGGCAGTGGAGGAGAGCTGAGGCCTTGGCCGTGGAAATGGGGCTGTGAGCGTGGCAAGAGCGCAGATCTGATAGTGGGCAATGGAGGGGACCTGAACATGTGTGGTGGCAAACAGGGGATAGCCTCGCTGCTACTGGGGCGGTGTGGAAGAGACACCACGATGAAAAAGGGGGAAGAGGGGAAGTTGATGGCACAAGGAGGGGAAATGATCGGAGGGGATCAGTGCTGGATGGTGACTGAAGAGCATGAGGAAAGGAGAAGGACGGTCAGAGGGGATGTCGAGGGTAGTGGGATGAGATGTGAGGGGACTGGAGAGCATCTGAGTGTTCATGAAAGGATTAGATTCTATTAGCCGCTCTTAGCTCTCTAGCATGAACAGTCATAGTGTTTGCATGTTGCAGACCTGCTTTTGTTGCCCCTCAGCTCTGCTGTGGGTTTGGGGGTCTCTGCGGGGACCTGCCGCTGCCCCTTAGTGTCCACCAAGTGCACAGGTGGTTTTGTGCCCTCACAGGTCCCACCTGCTCTTTTGGCCTTGYGCCGCGCTCCTCCCTTTGGCTCCRTGCATCCTGGAGTCCCCCCTTTTCACAGGGCTGTGCCAAGTGGAGCTGCGGCGCTGCCCCGTTTGTCACGGCCTGTGTCCAAAGCRGGAAAGTCACACGGACTGTGAGGCTGCCCAGGCCTTTGCCAGCGCTGCCGATGCTCCTCGCTCCTGGGCTGCGCTGGAGGACGCAGCAGCCAGGCCTGACCAAGTGCAAACTCCTGGCAAGGAGGAGAGACTGTCGGCAGCACAGAGCGCGAAGCGACGGCCAATTCATAATCGTAATTCAGTTCTAGCTGCATGGCAGTCTTAAGACCCCAGCTGGGGACTACTTGTACTGCACCTGCAGTCTCCCACCTCCTGCGCATCAGTGCTGTCCCCATGGCCCGGGCACCATTCAGCCCTGGCTCCGTGGCAGGGACGATGGCTCCGCAGTGGTCCCAGTACCTGGAGGACCCCTGCAGACCGGGCTTCCCACGCAGCCCCTTCAGCCCCTGCTTGTTCGTGCTGCTCTCTGTAGAGCGAGCCCAGCTTCGGTCTGCGTTCCCACTGTGCACACAGCCCTCGCCCAACACTCCACGTAACTAGTTATCTATGCACTTGGCTTAGGACCTACCCACCTACTTGCCTAACTATCCGACTGCCTACCCACCTAACTAGCTAACAAGCCCCTGAACCATCCTAACTAGCTAACTACTCACCTAAGCAGCTAGCTACCTTCCTAAGCAGCTAACAAGCCCCTCCACACGCTGAACTAGCTAACTACCCACCTAGCTAACCTCCAAAGAGCTAACTACACACCTATCTAACTAMCTACCAGCCAAACTAGCTAGCTACCCACTGAAACACCTAATTACACAGGCTTYCGTGTGGCCTCCCGGGCGTCCAT